TGGGGGCAAGAGAAGACATCATGCGGAATGCGACGGCCCGGCTGATCACCATTCAAAAAGACGCGTTCCAGAAGTGTTTCCAACAATGGCGGAAGCGCTGGGAGAAGTGTGTGCGTTACCAAGGAGGCTACTTTGAAGGGGATTAGGGTTTTGTACCTTCAAATCAATAAATGTATTTCTGCCGACCAAAGATTCGATACTTTTTGAACACACCACGTATAATATCATTACTTGTTTGTGTGTGTGTCCTCCAATTCTTTCGTTTTCTATACAGTCCGTGTCCTATCGAAGGAAAATAGGCGGTTAGTTCTTCCCAGATTTTCTTTTGTATTATATCATTTTCTCGTACGACGCCCTGTTTGGGTGAAACAGGATGAAAGGGGTCGCAGGTTCGGCCGCTGTAGAGACGGTTGGATTTACAAGAGGAGACACCGGAACTGGTACAATTAATCACGACAGCGTCAAGCTTAATTCTACGGCGATACGTAATGCCGAGGATTGCTACTTCCGTCTGATTACTGTGAACTCCTTCCCTTGAGCTTGAGATCACACTAAAGATATTAGCAACGTGCAGATTTGTAGATGTTACGGGATTTGCATTTAAATGAAAATCCTTAAGTAACCAAAAATTCGTTCCAGTCAAAATTACTTTACGCCTGGCGGTTTACCGCCAATCAGTTCGTCTTGGCACCAAGCCCCTTGAGGATCACGACAAGAGAGTCTTTTTTTTTTGCAACTAGACCCTTGGGGGTCATAGTCTTATGTAACATTTTCTCTGACGAGAGGATGGGTTTGTCTGTTAAGAAAAGGCTTGGTCTTTGTGAAGTATATCAAAGTGTATCACACACATAGGAGTAGCATGTTATTGGAAATTCTTCCTTGTGCACTGTATGCAAGTCTTCCGTCAGTACAGGCTTCGCAAAGCAAATCATGCCTAGCTTACGTATCTTATGCTACAACGGTACCTTAGTCACCTGAACGGTCGTAAGCTTGACCGAGACTAATTCCAGAAGTCGCAAGCACTCTGTAACGTGTACAGAGACTGGGCTTGGGTATGTGTGTATGTATGTGTGTGGGTAGGGGTTTAGAGGCACATAAACATTCATTCCTATGTGCTCCCTTATTAAATCAAACTAGAAAAACTTTAATATAAATTATTAACATGAATTAACGGGAAGATGTGGGAAGAACTAGCCGTCTACTTTCCTTTGATACGACACGGATTGTATAGAAAACGAGAGAAATGTGGGACACAGAAACAGACAGACAATGATAGAGTAAACACTCGTTAATCCGGATTAATTTTGGGAGCTGGTTTAAGCAAAAGTGGGGCAAAATATAGCCCTAAAGGAACAAATTTAGAACACAAAAAATTGGAAATTTAATGACATAAGTAGTGCTGATGAAAATAAATAAAATATCACCGTAGAGCCTTTATTTAAGAACTTAAAAAATAATATATTTAAACACCGATAGAAGGTTCAGAAGTTATACATGAACATAATGTTTCAGTTTTGAAGAAACCGTCAAGTTTTGTCTGAACTGACACGTGACTCATCGGCCTTCTTAGTATGTACTCAACTGTGAGCAGTTCTCTTAATTTTTAATACTTCGGTCCGGACTATCCGACATCCGGTTTAACTGTAAGAGGATTAGCGAGGGTTTACTGCATTATATAATAATAACTACAAACGACGCGTTGCCTAGCAACGATAAGGGCGGGACATAGGCCCACAAACAACAAGGTGATCTCATAAGCCTCTTTTCATCTTTTTCAAACTAAGGAAATTTTATATTGGAGAAACAACACCGAAATTATTCCCAATTTCAGTATTAGATGCATGGGTTCGAGTTCATGTGAATTTCTTTCCTCGTCTTCAACCCCCTCCCCCCGCGGCATAGAAATCACTGCGACTGTGACAAAGTCATGTGCATTTTCATAGCAGCCTTGGTTACTAAATATTATCTGGAAGTCACAGAAACTACATTTCATCTTAGATTCTAGGGAGTTCTGACGGTCTTTTATAACACTCAGAATTACTGGGTTTTCGGACTTTGTCCATTGTTCGGTATTCTAAAAACTACAAATCACAACGTTTCGGAAATAGAATCTGTTTGAATCCTCAGGTTATGATCCAGTAATTGAGATTAGCTCTTTCTAAGGGACCCAACAGAGTAGGTGTCTGCCCCCTCAGCTGAGGATGGAAACAGGCCCAGTTTCCGATACGTTGTGTTTTCTAGTCGTCAGAACACGTAATGATGGACAAAGTCCGAAAACCCAGTAATTCTGAGTACATTTCACTGATCGAGTATAAGAGAGTCCCATTTCCACTGCTTGGGGAGAATACGACAATGCTCCTTTACGAATTTCTGCATATTTCCACAGCTTCATCTTGCTAACAGGCGTGAGATTTTCCAATGTGTTTTCTTGCAAGTCACATTAAAACTGCAGCTGATCCCCAACTTGAGGTCCAGTTTCCCAGGAACTGAGATATAAATGGGCACTGTACACTCCAATACTCATCTGACCATGAGTGTAATCCCATGAACTTCGTCATCATCATCATCATCATCATCACTGGAGAAACGGCCCATTCTGAACCACAGCCATTCTTCGATGATTCTGTCAGAGTGCATCCGGTTTCCACTTATTTGAATTTTACAAAAAATAATTTTTCAGAACCAGGTTTTCAGCCTTGCGGCCAACGCCCCCCCCCACCCACCCTCCAATCTGGAGGGCCAGGTCTCTATGTCCCCAGTGATACGGCAGCCCAGTTATACCCCCAAGCACCGGGTTCCCTTTACGTCGCCTTCTACAACTCGCATGGCGACTGTGGAGGTATTCGAACCCACACCCACAAGAGGAATACAGAGACGCTAAATATGAGATACCACAGTGGAAGTCTCAATCAGTTCCTAGTGCGTCACACTGGGAGAAATTATAGAAATACTTTATTTTAAAACGGTACTGTCTTAATGGAGGTGGGAAACCCAAAAGCAAAGGCGCCACTAGGAAAACTAAGACGTAGGTAGGTGGATAATATTAAAATGGATCTTAGAGTAATAGGTTAGGGCGGTATGGACTGGATTGATCTAGGTCAGGATAGAGACCAGTGGAGGAATACTGTGAACACGGTAATGAACCTTGGGGTTTCACAGAATGCTGGGAAATTCTTGAGTAGCTGCGCAACCGGTGGCCTCTAGAGAAGGGCGTAGCTCCGTGAAGTTAGTTAGTTACTGTCTTAATGGATATTTGTGCAGTTAAAGCTGATTTCAAAACATAAACTGTAAAACGCGGATTATAAATTTGTTGTACAGAATTCCGGAAGAGACAAAATATTCAATTCTCATTACTTTAATATTTCGAAGTGACTGTAATGTCCACTCTCTATTATGACGAACTGGCGAAAAGTTATTGCTTTTGTCTTAAGAATGTATAACTCTTCCTCCTTAAACCTAACTCCATTACCTGTGTCTAGATTCATATCACTGCTCAAGTACTGAAGAGTTACTAATCTGATGCTTTATAATTTCTAATATAGGAAAGAGTTTAGACATTTCCCGAGTTCCACGCGCTGTCCTATTACGTCACTGAGCCTGCAGAAGATTGGTTACGCAGTCCGCTCCTGTAAACGCCGATCACAGCGGCCGTGCGTCCTAAGGCATGAAACGTCTTTGCCCGCTTCAACACTGGGATCTTGGCTTCGAATCCTACTCAAGGTATGGATGCCTGTTTGTGTTTAACCTGTGTTTGTATTATGTAGCGGCCTTGCGACAGGCTGATCCCCCGTCCAAAGAGTCCTACCGACTGTCTGCGATTAAGAAACTAAAGTGAAACGAGGAGTTTCAAGGATGTTCTAGGCTCCAAGTGGGAACAAGGGGTATAGGAGGAGGAGGAAGAGAAAGGAAGAAGAAGAAGAACACTCCTGTATACGTATGTGTACGGTACGGTGAAAGAGTCTGCTTACTGGTAGCTGTGCAATATAAACACTTTACCGTGATTACAATTGTTTCACTCTCGACTGACACTGCAGCCCACTATAAGCCTTGGCCTACCTAAAGGATTTACAGCTCCGTCTTTCTTAACATCGACAGTGAATGGAGACGAGTGACTAGCGCAACGACCGTCTCGTGTATACCTGGGCAAACAGCCGGCGTTTCGACTGCATAGGGGTTGTGTGGGTCCCAGAGACAAAACTGGCCGAAACGACGAAAAATGAATGCTCAAATCCTGCCGGGAATCAAACCCCACTCGTCCGACCCATGCCTGGAATCCTACACTTGTCTTCCCATTCTTATCAAACCAAACTAGTCAGTACTTCCGTCATTTTGCAGGATAATATAATATTAAATTTAAAATTGCTTATTTTTGCAAAAAGAGAAGAAGAGCCGGGATTTCTTAGTTACGGGACACACTGCAGAGGGAACAGGGTTCAACTCACGGCAGTGTCAAATATGTCGCACACAGGACACATAAGTCTGTGACATATCCAGCCTTCAGTCAGTATCTGAGGCTCTTACGTATGAGGTAATGTAGCCGGAGCGTAAAACTAATAACTCACCTACATCTAATCCTGGGATTGGGAACGCGTGCTGCTATACCTCCACTCCCCCATACGTCATTATTGTAATAACTAACGAACTGAACTAATCCACAGAGATAAGTCCTTCTTGAGAAACTGCCAGTTGTTCAGCTACAAAAGAATTGCCCAACATTTTATAGGACAGAAGTTTCATTATCATCTTTAAAAGAGCCTGACACTGGACCCTATTCTGTGTCAGATTAGTCCAGTCCATACCACCCCATCCAATTTTGCAAGATCCATTTTAATACTGTGGCGTATTTGCTCCATGCAAGAACGGTTGAGCCACAGAAAAAACCGTTGCTAAGTAATACACGCATGCAACAATAGAACAACGGGGTTATGCAACCTGTTTCTAGGCAACGGCTCTGTAAACACAATTCCGCTTAGGCCGTGAGGCCACACAAAAATATAACAGCACTGTTTTCTTTGTGTCCGTGCAGCTCATGCATGTTCCATGACGTCAAACCCCGAGCCATACTTAGCTATCACGTGACTTGTGTTTTCTGTGTGGTCTGCAATAGAAATGTGCTTCTGTGTTGTCCGTGCCGCAGCTATACAACGCGGGCCCGCTTGCAGCTGAGAGAGTTTTAGTTGAGTTCCGAGGTTCCAAGGTGACTGAGCAAGAAATTACAAGAAGACTTCATAGTGATTTGAAGTGCTTGTTTCTGTGTTGAGATCCGATGCCAGGAGACGACTAGTGAAGACGGAGAATCCTAGTGCGTGTGCAACGGTGAACTACAAATTGTGAAATCAGCGATAACGCTGTATATTAGTGTAATTTAGAGAACTTGTAACTTAAGTGTTAACAAATCCAATCATCCGATCTAGAACTCGTTATATTCGTCACGTGTACCACCTATCAACTACGTCTCGTTTTCAATAGTGGTCCCTTTCCTTCTGACGTTCCCACCAAAACCCTTATGCAATTTTCATGGCTGTCTTACGTGCTACATTCCCTGCTTATATCATACTCCTCGGCTTAATCTGATTATACTTGGAAAAGAGTTCAATTTATGAAGCTCCCCATAATGCTATTGGCAATGGGACTATTTTTTTATCTTCCAAAATTTAACACTAATAAAGATTAGTTGACGAAGAACTGCTTGAATTAGCGGACAAATTTTACACTTCTATTCTCCAGGGATGCAATCAGAGTATTGGCAGCTGTGCCAGGTTTCCTGGTTCTAGCTCTGTGGAGGCTTCCCTCACACCCTCCAGGCGGATGTCGCAGTATTACCTTAAATTGTGAGTGTGTACCGTCTCACAATAGAGGCCATCTTCCCGTCTCAATCGACGCAAGCCATTCTGGTGGTCTGCTTCCTAGTACGAACTTGCACACTACGTATTGTCTTCCTCTGCATTTAACTTCAAACCTGAAGTAAGCAGAAACCGCTACATCCATTTGTTAAATGAGTGTCTGAATGGGAAGAAAAACTCCCACAACTCATCCATTCCTTTTCCTCTAATTACTAAAAGTCCATTAAGGATTTTCGTTGCTCAAGGAATTCGTATCGTTGTTCATGCTCCATTTCACATTAAAAGTGTCTGCAAATTTTACCAACTTGAACTCCATTATTACGAACTGTTCGAGCAAAGCACATGAGATAGTGTAAGGCAGTGGACTTCCGGAGACTTGTGGTACCATCAGGAGAACTGGACATATTTAGTTAATCCATATACGTCAAAACCTAGCACATCATCATCATCATCATCATCATCATCATCTCATGGAATTGAGCCCTTCTTGAGAAGCTGCCAATTCTGCAGATACTAAAGAACTTTCCAGCATTTTGTGGGACCCGAAGGTTCATTACCGTGTTCACAATAGCCCTCCATTGGTTCTTACCCTTAGCCAGATCGATCCAATCCATACCATACCATCCTATCTCTCCAATGTCAATTTTATTATTGTCCACCCACCTACGTCTTGGTCTTCCTAGTGGTCTCTTTCCTTCCAGCTTTCCCACCAATATCCTATATGCATTCCTCTTCTCCCCCATTCCTGTTCCATTATCTGCCCATCTGATCATCGCTGACTTGATCATTCTAATTGGAGAAGAGTACAAGTTATGAAGCTCTTCGTTATGCAGTTTTCTCAAACCTCCTGTCACTTCATCTCTCTTCGGTCCAAATATTCTCAACACCCTGTTCTCAAACACCCTCAGTCTATTTTCCTCTCTTAAATTCAGAGACCAAGTTTCACACCCACACAGAACCACAGCAAAATTATAGTTCTGTACATTCTAATTTTTATGTTTTAGACAGCAGACGAGAAGACACAAGGTTCTGGACTTAATGGTTAAATCTCCTCTTAATTTCCATTTGAATCAGGTTTTGATCTGTTATAGTCGTACCCAAACATCTGAGTTGTGCTAAATCCTAGCACTGTTATTGTACTGCGGCATGTAGACGCGCTTTGCCGATCCCAGTGGCCGCGCGATCTAAGGCATGAACCGTCTTCGCTAGCTCGGACACTGGGATCGTGGGTTAAAATCCCACTCGAGACATGGATTTCTGTGTGCGTTTGTTCTGTGTGTAGATAGCTGCCTTGCGACTTGCTGATCCCCCGTCCAAGGTGCCCTACCATGTATGGATTAAGTAATTGAAAAAGCGGACAAGCTGTATAAGGTATGTAGCGCCATCGATAGATGTAGACCTGTTGCTAAGTAACGACTTTGTAAACAACTCCCGTTGCTGGGTAACGTCTCCAAGTCGTCCAGACCGGCTCTGGGGCCCACCTAACCCCCTATCCGATGGGTTCCAGATTCTCTTTCCCCAGAGGTAAAGCGGCCGAGGCGTGAAGCTGGCCACTCACCTCTAATGAGTGCCGAGGTCAAGAAAATGTGGATATATACATCGGCTCCCCCATACACCTTCATGGCGTAGTGGTTAATTAGTTAAGCACAGGGACAACTTTACGTTTTTTACGTAGACTACTCGGCGGGCACGCGATAGCGTAGTTGGTTGAGATACTATGCTACAAGCCGGTAGGTCGCGGGTTCGATTCCCGATAAGGTCATTGTTTTTTTTTAATTAACCCAATCCTTCCAGCCGCACTATGACCCTGGAGTCGACTCAGTCTGTAACAGAAATGAGTACCAAGAATCTTCCTGGGGATAAAGGGCGCCCGGCGCGTAAGACTGACAACCTTACCGTCATCTGTGAGCCGATTGTCTAGAAAATGTGGGAGCATCGACGCCTCACAACCCTATGGGACTCCACGGCCTGTTACAGGGATAGCTTTACTTTTTTATTTTTCACCTTTAAGACTGTCTGTTGAAAGTACGGCTTGCGTTCAGAAATGTCTATATCACACTCTATCGAGTGTGTCCTGGTGAAAATTTGCACTAAAAAAAAGAAAAGAAAATACAAATTCATAGTGTCCACTGGGTGTGTATCTCAGTTTCAAATAGCCTCAATGCGCGGCTACTCCGCCTCCAAACACCTGTCCCCCACCCCCAACTCATTCCACAGAGCTCTGTGACGATCAAAAAGATTCTCTGTTGGTACACTCCAATAAATAAGTTCGGACTCAAAGTTTGTGTGTTGCCATATTTAACTATGCAATGACTTTTGTGCCCTCTAGGAACGACTGTATTAACACAAGATAAAAAAAAAAGAGGCTTTGTGGTGTTGCAAATTCATGCGTGGCTTGTTCACACTTTGCACCCTGCGGGGTGCCATGAGGGGGTATACGGTTCCCTGCACTATCGACAAACTCATCGCGTTTGGTCGCGATTTATTGCCATCACTGCCGGAAGCGCCACCGCTGTGGGTCACGTGTGGAGGGGGAATCCCTTTCCTCGAGGCGGGCGATCTGCCCAAACCCGCATCACACCAATCAGGGCAACACTGACACAAGTACAGATGTGTCAATTCTATGCGTGTTTCCAAAAATTCGACACTGTCATCAAGGCCTTGTGTTATCAGAGATGTCTATTCTGCTGCTTCCCTGCTTTATCCTTGGGACCCTGAATATGAAGACATTAGGTTCCTCCGAAACGTCTATAAATTTCGACCACGCTATACGGCGTAACAACCCAGGAGATAGCGCCCTTCAGTCTATGTTTTGTCAGATACGTGGGTCTATGCTTATTTAACGACACTTTCAACAACTGTCC